TATTGAATTTCATGAGTATTTTAGAGTATTTTTGAAAGAACTATTTTCATGTGAACATTGAATAATACGATAATCATGTTTTCCTATTCAATCTGTACTCTAAACATTCATTATGGAATTGAAATAGATATCAATCATAGGAACGTTACACAACTCCACAATGAATGTTTAGCATTGTGGATTTATCTCTGACTTAGTGGTTTGTGCGGAACAGTATCGGTTTCCACGCAATGCCAAGCAATTACACAAGAAAACACGTTTCTCAGGTTTCTAATGAGCAATGCAACTAGCACGTTCCAAAATCATTGTGTTCATAAATTGGATAAGTAGAGTTCATAGGAATAAATACTCTAAATTATGAATAATAATAATATCGGCTTTATTATTTCATAAGCAAAACAAAAACCCAACATAACTTAAATATTCAACTAGCAATTGAAATGAAGGGCGAATTGTTTTCTCATTTATGTTTGGTGCTGTCAAAATATCACTAAGACTAAGACTAACCTCTCTACCATGGCGTTTAAACTCCCAATAGAAAATAATGTAATATTTTTTCCTATTGAAAAAGTCAAGTCGGTCCTATTGATGGGTGCAGTGTGTCTGTTGACGGTATAATTCGAAGGAAAAACTATTTATACCGCCTTCAAAAAAAAGTTTTTTCAATAGCCTTTAACTAAATACTTATGTGTTGGAGAATATCTTGGTTAACTGAAGATATTTTCACATTTCTATGCACACTCACCATAGCAAATATTGTACCATTACATAAGGTATAAGTAACTAAGTCAGCCTAACCTTTTACGTTGTATACATCCACCATTATATTTATTTACCTGCGCAGGGGTTTTCCCTAATTTTTCGGCAATTTTCTTCACTTCCGGATGGTCCAATAAATCTTGATTACTAGTTCCCCCTAAAGATGAATAACCTTGGACTACTATACCTTCTTCTACTATGCAGAATGCCACTACTTCATCTGGGTGATAATTAGGGTTCCACTCGATCTGTAATTGAAAGATTACATAAAAAAATATAGGTGAAGTAAGGTAGTTTCAGAGATGTAATGTATATGTTCAAAGTTCAAACACTCTGTATAAGATAGTATACTTTCTCGAATACTATTTCACTTTTTATACAGCGTGTAAAAGCCGAATGGAATAATTTCATCAGTTTGGACTTCCATTGTCTAATCTAATATATAAAAATGGATGTTTGTTGGTTGGTTGGTTGGTTGGTTGGTTGATTAGTAAGTGATAAACTTCTACATCGCTCAACCGATCGTGATGAAATTTTTCATAGAGCAGGTTTTAAGGCAAACAATTTTTCTGTAACGCGCCACTAGATGGCGCTGTAGAACAATTTTTTGAAAGCACTGTTCTATAATGTTGCGCACGCCTAAGTTCGTTGATTCTGATTCTGTCAAAACATTGGAACAGCAGCGATACAGCAACATAGTACTAATTAGTACTACAACTACCAAATTCTAGGCGAGCGAAGCCGCAGGAAACAACTAGTATAATATAAATTGATTGGAAAACTCTGAAAAACTATCTAG